GTTTTACCCTCAGACTGCTCTATTCTAGGGGTGAGATTCAATATACTGGCAAACTTGCTCATAGATTGATTGACACTATCTTTTACTAGTTTCAGGATATCATCAAATTTTGGATCGATATCCTCTTCCTCCATACGGGAGCTTATCTTCACCCACTTCCTTTGCAGTCGAGTAGGTAGGCGTCTCGCAATTACCTCTAGGACTGAGCTGGAGTTGAGGTCACTCATGCAATTCATAGAAATCAAGGTATTCTTATAAGTCATAAGATTATCTAAAAACTCAGTAAGTGCCTTGGAGTCATCTCGAAGTTGGCTGCCATTACCCTTGACAGCTTCGTATACGTTCCTTACAATCATTGAAGGTCTTCCAAACCTTTGACGTAATATGCTCATAGCCTCAGCGTATCCCTCATTAGGGGGCATGAGCTTACAGCACTGTATAGCTCTTGAAGCATCTCCAGTGCAATACCTCATCAAATACATCAATTTCAATTCATCACTTAATAGAAAACTACTCAACATGATCTCAAACTCCTTTACAAATTGTAAATAATCAGCCGGGTTTCCATCGAAACACCGTGGTTCAAATTTAGGGAGTTTGATGTTCCTATTATCCCTGAACGGCGAAACAGTAACATCAACCATGTCATGCTTAACATCAGACACATCGTTACAATTAACAGACAAGTCACCATGACTTACTTTCCTGTTTGCATCCAAGACACTCTGTCCCTTCTTTGACCCAGGCATTGTTGAACTTGACCCAATTCCAAAAAGTTCCAGATATTGCTTGTTCAAAGAGGACTTGACCGGCACCAGGAAAGATGAACGGTGACTATCCAAACTTTCACCAACTGTTTGAATCCGCCAGATCTGTTTCTATCGTCAGAAACTGTCAATCACGTCTCATAAACCGTTAATGCCCAGCTCTTGCTACGCTCGGGCCAACGCTGTTCCTTGAAGTTTTCAGAAACGCTTAGTTATAACGGACGAAAAAACCAAAACACCGATCTGCCGCTCTATATTTCTTTATTGTTACACCAACATATAAAAGGAATAAGTGAACTAAGGTCTGTGAACAAATATTACAATAATAAATCATTATATTACTTCTGACGATGTTTCACTCTTCTTTCTGAACAGCGACCGATGAGACGATGACTGTCGTATTGATGCCTCCGCGAAAATTGGGGAAGTTGATTTTGAGCAAACAACCAAGAATTGATCGTTCAATTTTCAACTTCGTTGACAGCATTCATTAATGATACTTGCACTTACCTATTTCATTACACTTTATTAATTCACCTTGGCACTTTTTGTTTTCTAAAACTGCTTTCCATCCCTTGTAAACGTTGTAGTTACCTCAATATAGGCTGGTTATCGTATGCCTACAACCACGGGTTGAATACGAAACGAAGTCGATTTTCCCTCGAAACCTGGAGGACAACTGTACAATTCAATAACCATACGGCCTCGTTCAGACAATCAGTATATTTATATTTATACATCAAATATTTATCTGTTGAAACATTATTAACCTGTAGACAATTTAAGATTTAACATTATAACATACTTGATCGTGCCTGTAAAAATGGCATGCATTTTCATGTAAATTTAATTTATTTGTTTATATGAGAATACACGTTATTATTATTATCCAGAACATACTTAGGTTTTTTTTGTTAATGTGAAGAAAATATTGCTATACTTCTTGACGCGCTCTATTGAACGACTAGTTATCACATTGTTCCCACAAACCGAAGACAAAAACGACAGCAACCACGTGTTTTAACCGTAAATCAAATTTATGTAATTTGAGTAACACTTTTCTATGCTTGTACAACTGGTGTGTCCTACGCAGGTAGGAAAAAATATGTATCTTATTAAAACATTATTATTAAGTATGACTGCTAATCTTATATGTGATTTATCCTATTGATGATGCATGTAAACTGGCGTCTCTGATGTACAAAGTGAGGATATATTCTGCCGTGGTTATGTCAGGAAATTCACCGTTTTGTACAACGCATATAAACCCAGTTTGAGTAAACATATGAGTCTTTCGCAGTCAGTTATTATACTATACTATGCTATTGTACACTCCGGCACCAGAGATTCGATCTTTCCTGAAACCATGTCAGGCTTCGTGCAGAATGTTGTTCTAACTAAAATACACTATAATGTAGTTATCAACCTGACCTCTAACCATCCTTGACGTTGTTGATAATGGAGTAACATGTATACAAGATTCATGATTTTGTCGAACCCCCGACATTAACAATAGAAGATCAGGTGACCCTCTTCCAATGCATCAGTAGTTGATGCGTGCAGAATGAATGCTGAAGCAACGCACTTACATCATCAGCATGCAAAACTGGTGGTATGATGTTTCATCATCCTCCAAATTTCCCAGGAAAGAGTTTTGGTAGTTCAACTCCTTGCGCTATCATTCATCAGTTTCATCTGCACATATCTCTTCCACCGATAGAAACCTGGATATATTGTGGTGAGAGTTGGATGTTAGTCAAAATTGGTGGACAGTGTTTTAGGTCAATGCTTATGTCCCCAATATTGGTCGTGAGAAAAATGAGAAGAAAGGCTTTGCGTAGGCGGATACGGTTAACATATGACATTCAAGAAACAGTCACAAAGTGATGCAAGGTTAACTTTCTGAGAGAAACAACCAGTCACAGGACAGCGTTTTTCTGCTAACAATAATCTATAATATGTACATGAAAATCTTTAAATATGTGTTGATTTCCTTAATAAACGATCTGTCGCCTGGCCCTTGTCTTCTGTTGTTACAATATGACCCACTGTTCTGAGTTCTCCATAGTCCTTCGTCTGTTCTGCTTCCGCCGCCAGCGTTTCAGAACTGTCTTTTTTCCTTTTAACACCCTCCCTCACTTCTTTATTCGATGCATTGCACACTGAGCTCTGCCTCTCCCGCTGTTGTCCACTAATGAAGCGTCCATCTTCTGTTCCACAATCCCAATATCCTCCATTAGCTTCGAGGTGTCCGTAAACAGACATCACTTGTCTTGCCTCCTCGATCTTCCCAAAGCGGCCATACACATATCCTTAAACATAACTGTCATAGAGTTCCAATGTTCCTAGAGGAAGGCCTCTTCAACAGTGCAACGTAATGTCTACAAGTTTGAAGTGACAGCTGCATTGAAGGTGTTTTCGTAGTCTCAACCCTCAGATTCTAAGCTTTTCGCGTGAGTTATGATCTACCTGCAGTTGTTCTGTTGGCTTTCGATTTCATCGGGGAAAGTTCCCTGCCGGCACCTGCTCCTCTTCTCAATTTAGTTTTCAGGGGGCTGCCTCTTCGAGGTGAAATCTGTCTGATTTTAATGGGATTGTCAAGTGAAATTCATGTCACTGTGTTTATCTTCGTACTTTTACACGCTACTTTCAATTGTCAAATCACTGAAGGCACAGAGTTCCGTGAAGCGTTATATATATCTATGTATGTATATATATACATATATCGATTTTAACGTTTTATTTTTTCTTTCCTTTAGTCTACATAACCTAAATTTATCATATCTGCCATTATTATATATTTTTTTCTATCGACGAAATTGAATGATCAAGTGATAAAAGGATAAACTCCATTCACAGGAGCAGCACGTTATTAACACACCGTATAATACAAACTACATGTAGATATTCCCAACATAATCCTTTTGGAGTCAACCAAAGCCACACCAGTCGAGTGGCGGGACGAACTATGCCGAAGTTCCCCATGGACCAGGAACCCACTACCTCACAATTAAGAAGCGAGCTGAAAGAAATCAAATTGGTTTACACCAGCTCGTAAGAGCTAAATTGGATATGACTGACCTTGAGGTTTAGTTCAAAATTGTACGTTACTCTGGGTATGTGGGTATGTTAACACCTTCAAATATGTGCATCTACAGGCTCAACTATTTAACTGTCCTAGTTCCCTCGTTTGAATTTTGTATATAAGTGTTTCAATCGCTGTGTTAAAGTGAGTTGACACCCTGTATACATACTGAACTGGATGATTTTTATAAATTTGCTAACTTAAATGGAATTATTGTACTCGAGAAAGCCTATAAAATATTTTTTAAATTGGCTTATGGTAGATTGGAGTTTTCGGAAAATTTAGGGAGACTTAAGATACGTAGTGGACTAAACTTTTCTATTAGACAGTAATAATTTGAAAATTTCTCAGTGTATTTGTCATATGCGTTCTTATTTTATGACATTTACCAGTGAAATGTAAAACTTTAATTACGAGAACTTTACTTGGCAACTTCAAGGCACTTAAGGGCTGTATAAGCTACATCCCAGCTTATAATTGCATTACAATGCATACTATTTATATAATCGAATTAGGTTTCCATTTATTTCCACATGTTCACTAGTTGCTTTTGCTCAGTAAATGTTCGTATGCTTTCGGTTATGGTGTTGCAATGAATGTGATTCTCTCGCACACATTCCTTACAGGTGTGTTGTGCATTAAGCCTTAATACAAATGAGGGAACACTGGTCGACTTAGACATCTCTAGTTATATTTGGAAGCATAGCTGTGTAACTGCGAAACCTGACTGTCAGATACTGTGTTCTAGGAATAAGCCCATTCCTTTCTTCCGGGTGTCCCAGCATAGCATTGACTTTGTCCACACTGCGGAATGTTTGGCTCAGACTTCGAGCATGTCAGCTTGTTGGCCGTTATGTGACAAGTGAGGTTCATTTGGTAATATATCAATAAGCACAAAGTCACTTAGTTGTTCTGTGCATAAAACCTTCTGGGGGGGGTATTTCTGTATTAATTTAATTCATTAATTGAATTCCACTGTTACGCCCATTTATTTTTTATCGTGGTATTTAAATCTGTATATAATATCATTCGGTAACATATCAAATATTGTCAACATTATCCCTAACTTTTTTAGTTGTAGCATTCACAGTACAAATGGTCGCTTATACTGGTAGAGGGAAGAGTTTTATCCATTTGGTTACTTAACAATGGATGTATTGTTCAGTCTGCTTATATTTTCTTTATTTGGATTTTGTTCTGCATCGACGACGCCTTCATACATATATGAATTGAAAATTGTGGAAGATGGTAAGTCTTCTCTCTCTCTCTCTCTCTCTCTCTATATATATATATATATATATATATATAAGTTTCCCCCTATTCCCCTAGTCATTCTTTTCGTGGTATTGAGATTGTAAGAATTCTCATGGTTGGGAGACGAAGTTGAAAGCAGAATGATACTTTGAAAGGTGGTAATATTTTTAAGTTACTAGTTTAATCGTTATATTCGATTATCAGTCATGGTAAAGCTGAGAGATTTGGCTAAATTAGTTTAATAATCAGTTTTTCGTCTTTCAGCGTGTCTCATTGCCAATGTTGACTTGTTTCCTACTGTGTTCCGGAATTCCTAAGGGTTCCAACGCCGATAGCGAACTGACTTCAGCTATAGAACGTTATGCAATCAAGAATTATTAAACAACTGTTTCATCCTTGTTTAGGGACCCTCATCAGTACCCACCGATGACCCAACCAATTGGCTAGCAGCCTGCTCTCACCACAATACCATTAGTGGTTATATCTTAATCGACTAAAACAAACCGAAGGAGAAAAAATATATGCAATAGAGAAATGGCAGTTTTTGGTAGTCCAAGTTTTGAAGCAGGCCTCCAGATGCATTCACTACTTCTTTTAACCTCCTAGATCCAATAAACCGTCATGTTTTTCCATTTTTCTATTCATTATAGTTCTCTAGAAACTCTGTTCTCTCTTTTGTGTATACCTTCGCATGCCACATGGAGTGTGGTAACACACTTGAACTGGCAGACTTCTGTGCAAAGTTTTACGCTGAATTGTAGTCAGTCGTTTGTGTATCTGTATTTTTTTGTGCTTGTATTATAGAATTTATTATCAACTATCGTCAATACTTTCCTTTACAATCACGTCATCAATTTCTGACAAGTTTATTGAACCCACTGAATATAAATTATAGTATATTGGACAGATGGTATCCAAAATTTAATGAAAAGGAGAAAATAAGCGATTTTGATGTAATCAAGGTAATCGACTTTTTTTTAAATCTTGCATTATCTTACTTGAACTTATCACGCTTTGGATTTTTTATTATGGCGCATAATTTATTGTATGTGCTCGTACAATTTTGGATAATTCTAGTTGTATTACTATTATTATTACTAAAGCATAAACTTGGTGCTTTATGGGCACCAAGAGCTACACCAAGCTACACCGACTGTAATAGTTCGTACGAGTGCTGGAAATCCAGACTGAAGTGAGTGTTTGTCTTAAGGGGGCTTTTCCTCCAGAGCCTTCGACTTGAAGTCTTATCCACATAGTAGGGGAGCGACGTCCCCGTGGTTACTGATGGGCAAAACAGGCTCATACACTATTGAATCCTTTCAGATGCTGGAGCCCATGCACACCATTGGTCTTAGTATCAGGGTTCCCCTGGCCCCTTAGGTAGACGCTCGTATCTGCCCTTTCAGTTTGTGAGGGAAACCTCTACCTTGATGTATAGGATTTGTCAGTCAGTGGTTATAAACTCATGGCTACTTGTAGCCATTTTGAAAGGAAGACTGAGGTCTAATCAGACGTGGCTGTACCAGGTCGTTAGTGGGGTGGGGAGTGGTAATTCTAATTGAATTTTGATGTAGGTTTTTTACTGAGTATCTTATAGTAGTTGAGGAAAATATGTTTCAGTCCACTGATCTCTGTTGTAGAGTTTTAGACAATATAGTTAGTTTGCTCGATTAGGCTGCAAGTTTCCAGTTTACTTAGGTAATTGGGATTCATTTATTATTCGTTTACGTTCCCAGTGGAACATAGGGCTTCAAGCTAGAGGCCTGAAGTTTCAGTATCAGGCGTATTTATTTTTTACGGGATGAGGCTGCAAGTCTCATGCCCAATCTTCCCTCTTTACCAGCTGGCCTTATTACTGGCTTAGCAAGATAAAGGGGTGCTTCGGCCGGGAGTCGAACCCCGAACCACCTGCGTGGCGTGGTTGGCGAGCATTCTACCGCTATGTCACCGATGTACGGGATTTTTTTGTGTCGTCAAAACTCTTTTAGTTTAAACCACAAAACTGAACCCCTTGCTTTGTTTACAAAGGTTTCGGAAGTTTGGCACTATCACAAGTTGTTTAAAATTATGGGTTATCAGGTTGCATTAAGTAATTATTACTGAAATTGATAGTTTGCCTAATTTAAATGACTACTTATAAAGGCCTTATTATGAAATTCCTCTTCCAAAATTAATGATTTGCTTGAGCAGCAATCTCCGTATGTTTGGCATGCGATTCGCCCCTGCAAAATGTAAGATGCTGCTACAGGACTGGACTACGTCAACTCCTAGCTTAGTGATAGGAAGTGAAGTGATAGAACATGTTGACCACTTCACCTATCTGGGAAGTTGTATCAGCATCAACGGACTGATTGGCGACGAAATCTCAGCACGGATGCAAAAAGCTCGACCTGCTTTCGCTGACTTACACCATCTCTGGCGTAGGCGTGACATCCGGCTATCAACCAAGGGACGTGTGTACTGCTCACCAGTTCGCTCCATCCTTCTCTATGGCTCTGAAACATGGCCAATACGAGTTGAAGACATGAAAAGGTTGACTGTTTTTGGTCATAGATGTCTGCGATCTCTTTCTCACGTTAGGTGGTTTAATAAGGGAAGTAATGTTGACGTTAGGCGTAGAGTGTTGGGCAAAGAGGGAAAATCAATCGACGAGGCTATAAAGTTACATAGACTGAGATGGCTAGGTGACTTGCTGCGCATGCCTAACCATCGCCTCCCCCGACGGGCATTGCTAGCTGATATAGGTGCAGGTTGGAAAAGAGCCAGTGGTGGCCAAACAAAAACATGGCCTCATCAATCCATGAAATCCTTGACAGTTCAACTGAGTCAGGTAGGTAGGGAGATGCAGACTTCCGGGTTGGGGCCCACGGGACTGACTGTAGGAATCAATGGCTGGAGACAATAGGTGACATGGCTCAAAATCGTTGTCAATGGCCAGCGCAGATGTATTCAGTCTCTGTAATCTTTCATATTTCTTTATACCATTACCCATTCTTTTTCACTCTTATACCTGTCAAACTCTATTGATTCTCTCCACTCATCTTCTTGTCTACCTTTGTGTGCTATTTGGAACGTGTCAACTCGAAGTGGTGCTTTTCAGTGCCAAGTTCTATGTTGAATCCAGACAGACAGACAGATTTGCTTGAATTCTTAAATCAGTCTGACTTTTGAACGGATTCAGAGTGCATCTCATCACTTTACGCACTCTAAAATTTTAATGGCCCTATGTTTACCTTCATGTTAACTGTCATCTCCTTTTGATGTTAATGTATAAAATTTTAGCTGGGATGTAGAAAATGTTGATCGATTCAAACATTTCGATTTTATACATTTATTCCCTTTAATGAATTTAAATAAAGCAAGAACAATAGTGGTTTTTGCAGAATTAAATGGTACCATCATTGTTTATTTCGTTGGCTTCTCATCAGCCGCTTGCAGGCCAAAGACAGTATTAAATATATCTACAAAAACAATTTTTACATACTTGCACAGAGTTCATTTTTAAACAAAAATCAACCGATCAGTATACGCATACAATAATAATATGAATAATAATATTGAACACTACTCCGAGCAATAATGATCATACACAATGGAAACTTTTAACAATACGTAATCAGATGAGAGAGAGGGTGAAAATATCCAGTTACCAGGCAGCAGGGCGAGGAAAGACTGATAACTGTTTTTTCCTCAACGCATAAATCAGGTCTCAGGCGCTTGACAGGGATCGCTTCGGCAAAGTTGGGGAGAATTGAGCTCTTTTACCTATTGATAACTGTTGAACGATTTTGCAATGTCCACCTCATGACCCGTATTATCAAGGAGATGCCTGGCGATGATACTGTTTAAAGCATTTGTTCCCTTGAGACATACGCTTTTCGGTACATGTTCGGAAAATCGGAGGTATGCCCTTCTTCCTTTTTTCCAATGTAACTGCTCTCGCAGATACATTTAAATTTGTATATACAGTTGAAGTTAACAATAAGAAGGATATCTATCGATTTTCAATTGCACCAAAGATCAAGTTGTTTGACAGACAGGAACGAGCTTAGCTGCAGGATAGGTTCTGGCTAGTGATGTCCTCAATCTTCTGTTGACAATTGCTGTAATATTTTCACCTTTATAATCAAGTTGAATGTATATGGGCTTTTTCTCCACTGTGATTTGCTTGATATTTAAGACTTCAGATCTTCCGTACTTGTTAATGAACCTTTGAGGGTAACCGTTGCTTTTCAACGTCTTTTCAAGAAACATAAATTCTTCCTCTAATTTCTCTATAGAGCATAATCTCCTAGCTCTATAGTATAGAGTCTTCACTAGTCCACTTTTAAAGCTATTTGAAGAAAAACTATTGAAATGTAAGTATTGTCCTTTTCAAGTAGGCTTTCGGTAAATTGACTTCTGAAGACTACCACCTTCTAGGCGTTGCGTGGAAATGTCAAAGAAGTGGAATTTTCCATCATTTTCATATTCCATAGTAAATTCAGTATTGATATAGTAGGTGGGAAGCATGACTTTCATTGTTGCAAACTACAAATGTTTCATTGACCCATTGACAATAGGAAGTTGTTTCGTCGATTGCATGCTTCAACTTTGTTCTTTCAAGGTTGGACATGAGTATATCTGCTAAAAACAGAGCTAAGTGGACTGCCCATAGCTACACCATCTATTTGGCGATAAAGAGTGTTGTCAAATTGGAATTACACATCCATGGTACATACATTAGCAGTGTAGGCGTTTGAATTTCCGCCTCTGGGAATTGGGAGAAGATCAGACTGCTGATAAATGATCTCAATAGTTTCTTTGATTGAAATCATTGTGAACAAAGAGGCTGCATCAAATGACACCATGAATTTATTCAAAACGCCTATGTGGTTCACACTCTCAGCGAAATGTTTCTGTAGATATTATACTTTATAATGACTTTTGCCTGTAAGCAGCTGAGCTGATTATATTATTATTTTCATTATTATCATTATTACTATCACTACTATCATTATTTATTATATTTTTATTTTTACATTTCCTTACATATTTCTTGACTAGTTTATCCGGGTAATTATTAAGTTTCAAGGCTTTTTTTATGTGTATCACTTCCTCTCTTATATTTTCCTTGGTACTACTTAGTTTTTGTGCTCTTTTACTTAAACATTTCACCAATTCTATTTTCACTGAAATAGGATGGGATGATCGGAAGTCCAAATGTCTGTTTGAATGTGTGGGTTTCCTGTAAACACACTGGTGTGTTTAACTTCCCATCTTGATAATAAGATCTGATAATGACAACGCGAACAATAAAGAATCTAAATCATCAGTAGTACTTCCATACAAAGAAGGGACCTCGGAAACCTTACGCGAAATTCTTAACAAGGCAGAAATAAAAGTGACCGGCATTCAAACAGCACAGAAACTCAGTTAGAAACAAGCTTTGTCGGTTAAATAGTGGATCCTGTGGAACCAATAAAACAAAACAATTTCGTTTATTTAATACCCAGCAGCAAAATCTAGATTAATTGACGCGAATAAGATAAGAAATCTACAGAGTAGTTCAGCTATACCACTCACTACATGCAATTACACACGACCTACCATACAATAGGATGGTGGGATAGGATGACAGTTTTAAAATCTAATCTAATGTCACAGGGTGGAGGGAGAGATTGATAACAGAAGTTTTGTTTATCGAATCAACCGCAAACATGTGTAATAGGAATGATTCATCACCTGTCCACTCGGATATCTGGAAAACTCTACTACGCATACGACAAATACGAGAGGACAAAGAAAACTATAAAACTCAAGTTTAAGAGTCGTGTGATTACAATTGATGACATGATCATGAACAATAATGAATTGTGTTCGAAACGGTGTCATCCAGTAAATACTAATACTGTTTCACTTACTGTCAGTGATATATCTGATAAACAAACTAATATGGATTTGATTGGTGGATAGTGACTGGCAGTGGAATCCAGGGTGCGCATTTCGTCCTGTTTGGGATTTGTCAGCTGGATGTACCTGCATTTCTCAGTGAGTGATGATGTTCCCACCAGCGAGGCTCGAACCCAGTATCCATTGTTTCAAACGCCAAAGCGTTATCCACTAGACGACTTGGGCCACGACAGCCACCGCCTTATATGCAACGGCTCATATTAATTTTATTGAATTTGAAATTTTCCCGTTGATTGATTGGACCGAAGTGCTCGGTCTCAGGTTGACATGCCGGCTTCTTGTGCAGATGCTTCGACGATGTTGGGCATTTAGTTAGTATTTGATTAGTGGATGGTGACTAGCATGTAATTACTTACTACACAGTGCCAAGTTTTACACATATATAGAGAGTTATTGGCAATTTATCTTTATTTGTTCTGTGAAATATGTTTCTTTACTGTAATTTTTGTATATTCAGTTTTTCAATCTGGACAAAGCTGATACACAGAATCTTACGCAATACTTGTCGAATGTTAGTTACGTAAAATCAATTACTGCACAAAAGCAAATTAATCGTGTTCTTCTCAACAATTATAATCACAACGAAGGATTAAATTGTAAGTTCATGTTTTAGTATATTATTTTATTTGATGGCGGGGAGGTGAGTTGGAGGACCGATAAATCTAAATTTCTATTTTATAGTTGATATTATGGTTAGGATCACTGTACAATGATTTCAGTCAGGATGTAGGTTTATAACATGATTTTTTCATTACTTCGCGTTCCCAGAGGAACTATGGGGTTTGAAACTCTAGAGATTCAGTCGATTTTTACCCGACTTCCACTCTTTTCTGGGTTTAGGAGTACATCGGCCAATGAATCGAATCCAAATCACATATTCTATCTTTGAACCACGGATGCACTTATAACCTGTTACCCCTTGACCTAATGCGCTAATGTTGGGTGTTATTCTCTGAAGGTATGGTGGACCGCACTGGTTGATATTCCCTCTTAAAGTTTGCTAACAGAAGGCATAATTACGTTATTCATTATATTTCTTTCTTGTTAAAATGGTGACATTCATAAGGTCACTTTGTTTACATCAATACATAAACGCGTCACGGAGCAACCTAATTGGATAACATCCTGGAGTTGATGAAAGTCGTTTTGACTGGACTACTTAACTTCCATGGAGTCACCGTATTTTTTTTCTTTTTTTTTGGATGCTTAACCTACTTCAGTTGAAATCGATCTCTTTCCGGCTCTTTCTGGCTGACACATTTCTGCTGTGGAAGGGCTCTTCTAAATCCTCCACAAAAGCTATAGTCTCGAGATTTTTGTTCAAAACAGTAGCGGTAATTGCTAGATGTATAGTAAATCTTAGTTGTCGATTGACATGAGTTTGCAAGTGCAGTCAACAAAAGTTTCAAGTAGTGGTTTTGTAGAGACTTTGTTTCATTGCATGGAGGATTTCATCATGAGCTGACATCAGTTAGAGAACCACTGGAAAACCTGCAGGGAGTACTCGACAGCTGTTTCGTCAGCCTAGTTTGGGACTCTTCAGTAGTACGCACCCACCACAGTGGGGTTCGAAACAGGACATTTTGGTAACATGGCGAGCTAGCTCGTTGACCATTGAGCCACTGGGACCCGTGACCAGTAGGGTACAGGAGGTCGAAGATGAGGTAGTAACTCAATCATCGAAGAAGACATTGCGAAATGATCGCACTATGTCGTGAATTTGCAAAAGTTAGAATTCAGAACCATTGGATCGGGTCCCATTGACTCAGTGGTCAACGAGCTAGCTTGCCTTGTAACCAGAATGTCCTGGTTTCGAACCCCACTGTGATGGGTGCGTACTGCCGAAGAGTCCCAAATTAGGACGAAAGAGGTGGCTGTCCAGTACTTCCTGTGGCTGGTTTTCCAGTGGTTCTCTAACTGATGTGTCAGCTCATGATGAAATCCTCCATGCAACTGAAGTTTCAACTTAGAACTTTGCCGAAAGTGCAGCAGTTCAAGTTGCTATCAGTAGAAGAGAAGATAATTTGAAGGAACTATAATAATAATAATAAACAGTAATGTATGGAATAAAAAATGTAAACAAGGAGAATAATGTAGATTTGATAGAGCTGACTGATCACAAAGAGTGGAAATACTTTTAAGCCATTTCGCCAAGTCTTCAGCTATCGGTTCTTAGAGACCCTAGGAACCCAGTGAAGCACTTCACACCTCCCTACATGGCTATCGACTTAAATCAATGGTCAAAAATTTCATGGATTGATCTGACCATCAATAACTCTTTTTCAAAATTGTTCATAGAGGAAGATGATAACTGCTGATCATGCAAAGAAGCTCAAAAGTCCTATAATGAAAATTTATGAACTTTTCTTTGACTGCGCAGCATTTCAAATGAAATGCAATAAAAAAAAAATCCGCCTGACTTACATGGGAAGTACCATCAGCCCCAATGAAATCTCAGCACAGATACAGAGGGCTAGTTTCGCATATTGCCAGTTTACGCCATCTCTGGCGTAGACGTGATATTTGGCTATCAAACCAAGGACGTATGTACTGCTTAGCAGTTCGCTCCGTCCTCCTTTTATGGCTGTGAGACTTGGCCATTGAGAGTGGAAGACACGAAAAGGCTGGTTAGCTGTCTTTGATCATAGGTGCGTGCATTCTATTTCCCGTGTAAAGTGGTATAATAAGGTGAGCAATGTTGAGGTTAGGCGTCGAGTTCTAGGTAAGGAGAGGAAATCAATCGACGAGGTTGTGAAGTTACATCGACTGAGATGGTTAGGACATGTGTTATGTATGCCTAGTCATCGCCTTCCTCGACAATGGACAGTGTTAGCTGATATAGGGTCAGGCTGGAAAAGAGCTAGAGGCGGTCAAACCAAAACATGGCTTCACCAGTCAATGAAATCCACAACAGTTAGTTTAAACCAGCCACGTAGGAAGGTGTAGACTTCCTGACTGGTTGGAGTCCTCGGGATGGTAGAAACCAATGAAGGTTGGAAACAATTGGTGACATGGCTCAAAATCGCTCTCAATGACTGGCGTAGATGCATCCACTCCTTGTGACTTTTGATTTCCAATGAAACTTTTGTTCTTCGTTACTACTATTCCTTTGTCTCACACCTCTGTTTACTGTCTCTATTATTCATTTCTTGTACTTTCTTCTGTTGCTTTGTGTGCTACATGAAGGGAGTGTGGCGACTTGAACTGCTGTACATATGTGCAAAGTTCTATGTCGAAAACCAGCCAGCCAAATTATGACTGTTTTGCAAAATAGAAGTCGTCTCCATAGGGCTTCAGCTGCACATCACCACTTTTTCCTATTCTCTGCTGTAATATTTAGCTAACCCCACTATCACCTATAATCTCTGATCTCCTCGTCTCGCGATCTCCTCCATGTTAACTGTGAAGTGACGCCCACCTCGTCGTTTTTCACTTGGCATTCAGTCGAGGCTGTGCATGGCACGCGATGTCATTCAGCTGGGTCTCCTCAAAGTGTGTCTAATCTATCTGTATTTTCTTCTACCTATTTGCTGAACAATAAGTTTTTGGTTGACTTGTTCCCAGTCCTACTCCTTTTCTTCTGCAATTTTCCATATATCTGGGACAATCGTTGCGTTATATTTTAATCACACGTGTTTTGCGTTGATTGGATAAACGAAGATTCAGTTGAAATGTTTAATCTATCCCACTCTGTTGTGTGATTGCATGCAAGAGAATGTGTTGCATTGATCGAGCTTTTTTTTCCAAATTATTTAACTCGGCACAGTCGATCATTTTAGATCTTTAGCTAAATTCCTGTATTCCGCTAATTTACATAATACATCAGTTTTTAGGAGAACCTAACGTACTCATCTCAGCCTCTCGGATGACCAGAATTACATGACATATGTCTACTGTCATCCTGTGGAGCGATGACACTAAGCTACCCTCTCCCTTGACTAACCATAGGGAATATGGGAATTTGGCTTGTCCTAGAATAATCAACTATGGCTAAGTCAAATAATTTAGATAAATGCTCAATCATTGCAATGCACTTACCTTCACCAACAACTGTCTTCGCTGGCTCTATACTGAAGATCAGATGGCCGGGCCGGAAAGAATCACCAACAAGAAACTATGGGAACAAACAAAACAGGAACCAGTCGCTTGCCCAACAAATATGCAGGAGAAAGTGGAGATGGATTGGACACTCGCTGAGGAGGCCACTCGCTGGGTGACATCGCGCGCGTGTCAGGCCATTGCTGGAGTGTAACCAGGCCAAAAGGGAAGCGGCGAGTGGGACGTCAGTGCAAGGGTGACATGGAGGAGATCGTGTGAAGAGGAGTTGAGACAGTATAGACTAACATGGATGCAGGTGAAAAGCACAGCAGAAGACAGAAGCAAGTGGAGGGGGACGTGCAGTTGAAGCCCTATGTTCCACTAGGAACCCAAGGGAACAATAATAATAATAAATCCCAAGATATCATCGAAGCATCTGGACAAGGAGCCGAACTATCAACGGACTTCGAGCACTTTGGTCCAATTAATAGTCAACAGGAAAGTTCAAGTTTAATTAAAGAGTGAAATAGATTATAAGTCCAAGGAAGTTATACAGCTTTGTGCAGAGAGGTCAATAACCGTATCTCTGTGCACCTTGTCAATACCAAACACTGGTTATTAAAATTATTCAAGACTAGTTTCAGGTATATGGAAAATTGTAATAAAAATCACTGCAGGAAGTAGGACTATACAAAATAAGTTATCAAGTCATGTAATTATTATTATTATTATTATTATTATTATTGTCCCCTTGGGTTCCGAGTGTAACATAAATCTTCAACAACACATCTCTACTTTCTTCAATTTGGTGCTATCCTCTTTATCTGGTTCCACAACTGACCATAATCTCTCATGTTGTATTCCAACGCGCCACACGATCTCCTCCATATCACCCTCTCACCCACAACCCACTCATCTCTTTCCATTGGGATTCCACTTGAGCGATGGCCTGGTTGGTGCACAATGTTATTTAATAGCCTCTGCGGTGGCGTATGCCCGATCACTTCATCTCCATTTTCTCCTGCATATTTGTTGAGCGCAGTCGGCTCTCTCTCTCTCTCGGTTTCTTCCCAGCCAGAGTTTCTTGTTGGTAATTCTTTCTGGCCCGCCAGTCATTTGATCTTCAGTATGAAGCCATTGAAGGCGGCAGCTGTTGATCCTCTTTGAAACACACATTTGAATAAAATCAACATAAGATAAAATACATTCGGAAATAATATTAGTGTTATGCATAAAATACAATTAGATGGTAAATAAGTTGTTTTTATAGTAAAATAAATAAATAACTTGTCAGGATGTTATTATGTAAACTGAATACATTTTAACATTATTTACTATTCTCTTATTTGACTGACTGGCAGTAATAATATCTTCCATATCTCCACTATTTGAATTGAGTCACTTCTATTGCAATGAATCAGGCTTCAGTAATCGATCTCCTTCTACTGCCACCTATCTATATTACACTTTGGAATTTTGACTCTGTCCCATCCACTAGATTGTGTGGTTGTGCGTTAACGCATGCAGTGTGACTGCTGGGTTTATTTTTCTAAATTAC